TCCAATCCAATCCAATCCAATCCAATCCAATCCAATCCAATCCAATCCAATCCAACCCAACCCAACCCAATCCAATCCAATCCAATCCAATCCAACCCAACCCAACCCACCTGTGTTTGGACTCTCAGAGAGGGTCACCAGTTGTGTTAGAGTCAGAGAAAGTAGTTTGTAGTTTTAGTATCCTCCTTTTATATAGTATATTGATGTATTTTAGCATAGTTATAATAAAGAATAATTCAGCCTTCTGAATTGAGCCAGCCATTGTTGTCTCTTCCCATTGGGTTCACCAACATTTACAACACTGATGCCCCCAGAAGTTCCCAGAACGGGAGCCCTGGTGCAGCTCTGAGGAGTCCCAGGGGTCCCTGGATTGAGCCCCTCGCAGGATCTGGCCTGCAGATGTCAGAGATTTCATCCCCACGGGATTTCAACTCAGCGTTACTGATTTAATCCCATCTCTGCCTCAAAGAAAACGGGGGAAATCTTGGCATTTTGGGCGATCCCTCCCAGCTCTACTCCCTCACCCCACATTCAGCGACCACCCCCAAGGTTTATTTTGGCCAAACCTTTTGGCGAGACAGGAGCTCTCAGAGAGGGCTCACAACTGCTCGGAAGGATCGCCACCGCTCATGTGACTTCATTCTTGCTCACATTTCTTTCCTCCACATTTTCTCCATGAAATGTAAGGCCAGAAGGAAGCATCACGTCCAACCTCCCACACAGGAGGCCGTGCAGTTTCACAGCCCATTCCTGCACCTCGTGACTGAGCCAGTGGGCAGATTTTAGAGGAAACCCCCATTCCTCCTTTTAACACTTCAGGACCTTCCCCTGTGCACCAAATTATTGCATTTTCTGGCAATCAAAATGCCAGGTTTTGCTTCTTTTAGCTTCTTTTTCCCCTTTCCCTCTGCACCAAATTATTGTGCTTTCTGGCAACTAAAATACCAGGTTTTGCCTCTTTTACCTTCTTTTTCCCCTTTCCCTCTGCACCAAATTATTGTGTTTTCTGGCAACTAAAATACCAGGTTTTGCTTCTTTTAGCTTCTTTTTCCCCTTTCCCTCTGCACCAAATTATTGTGTTTTCTGGCAACTAAAATACCAGGTTTTGCCTCTTTTAGCTTCTTTTTCCCCTTCCCCTGTGCACCAAATGATTTTGTTTTCTGGCAATTAAAATTCCAGGTTTTGCTTCTTTTAGCTTCTTTTTCCCCTTCAGGTCAGCTCTGTGCACTTTGACTTAGGCTTCCATAACTTTTTCCTTGCAAAATGTTTCATTTACGGATCCGAGCAAAAAACACCTTTAACACGGCGCCACCAAAATCTACTACTGATAGACCAAAAGGGACCTCCAGAGAGCAGGACCGGGAAGGAACCATCACTCCCTCATCCTGGGCGTCTCCCCAAATCCTACCCCACCCCGAGGCAACCAAGAAATCCCATCAGGAACCATTTACTGACCACCAAATTTCCGATGACCATGACCATCATGAAGACAATCAAGCACATGGCCTGTCCTGCCACTTCCATACAATCCCACATGGTCTCAATCCACTCCCCACACAACACACGGAAGACAATAAGGAAGGAGTGGAAGAAATCGTGCATGTGCCAGCGGGGTAGCTCACACTCCGGATTGATCTTGCAGACACACTCCTTGTAGCTTTTGCCGAAGAGCTGCATCCCCACCACGGCGAAGATGAACACGATGATGGCCAGCACCAAGGTCAAATTCCCCAAGGCACCCACTGAGTTACCAATGATTTTGATCAGCATGTTCAGAGTGGGCCAGGATTTGGCCAGTTTGAAGACTCTCAGCTACCAAAAAACAACAAAAAAACCAAAAACAGATAAATAAATATGAAATAAAGAGGAAAATAAAGCAGAACTTCCTAAACCACAACTATCTTGTGTTTTACATAAAGGTTAAGTCCATCCTTCTGCTACTGAGGTTACAAGGAGCAGAGAATGCTTAACCCTTCTGGAAATTTGGGGTTGTGTGTTTTATACTTAGTTATTCCCCACACGCTGATCTCTCTTCCCAAAGGAAAAAATCACCCTTCCCTGCCCAAATGCAGCAAGCTGCTGCTCAGATCTTGTAAAGAGCAGTGACAAAGAGACCATAAAAAAATGGCACCACTCCGTCCTCCCCAAACCCAGAAAAAAGTGATCTTCCCTTTTTCTGAGGGGAAAAATTCCTTATGTGAAGGAAAGAAAAGACCATAAAAAATTGGCACCACTCCATCTCTGTCCTCCCCAAACCCAGAAAAAAGTGATCTTCCCTTTTTGTGAGGGGAAAAATTCCTTTTGTGAGGGGAGCAGCTGGAATTGTGTCAGGGAAGGGACAGGTTGGATATTGGGAAAATGTTCTTCTCGCCCTGAGCAGGGAATGGTCACTGCCCCAGGGCTGCCACAGCTCAAAGGATGTTTGGACAACACTCCCAGGGATTGCTGAGGTGCAGGGCCAGGAGCTGCACTGGATGCTCCTCGTGGGTCCCTTCCAACTAAGGTTCCGTGATTCTAAGCTTTGCAGTAGCTCCACAATAATAACTTTGCAAAAGAGCCGGAATTTGGGATACCAATCGGAAAGATCGCAGCACGGAAAGTCCCTCCACATCTGCCAGACTCAGCTCCATCAAGCTCAGGGAGACAATAAACCCATCAAAGATGTTCCAGCCTTCTTGAAAATAATAGTACGGATCCATTGCAATGAGCTTCAGGAACATTTCTGCCGTGAAAATCCCAGTGAAAACCTGGAGTGGGGGAGGAGGGACAGACAAAGAACAGGCAAAGGATCATTTTTGGTTTATCTTCTCAACTTCAGGCTAAGTCTCACCAATGCAACTGACTCAAAGTCCAAGCCCACATCAGCAATCAGCCCAGCTGGAGCAGGTCCGTGGGGAGTGTCGAGCAGATCTCCTTACCAGGTTTCCTACGGAGAGCACGTGCTCGAACTCGGGGGTCATGGGGTGGTGCTCCATGGCCATGAACAGCGTGTTCAGCACGATGCAGATGGTGATGGCCAAGTCAACAAAAGGATCCATGACAATTAAGTTCACGATCTCCTTCAGCTTCATCCAGTACGGGTGGCATTCCCAGATCAGGAAGGTGTTGGCAAATTTGTACCAGCAAGGGGGACACTTCCTCTGGGACTCTTCCAGCTCTGCAGGTACAAAAAAAAAAAAAAAACAGAGTTCAGGATTTGTGGGAGACTGAAGAATCACAAAACTGAGCTTTGTGACAATGGAGGTGACATAAAAGAAGAGTTGGGTCAAGTTTGTGGGCAGGCTGGACATCAGGAAGAAATTCTCCATGGAAAGAGTGGTCAGGCTTTGGAAGGGGTGGCCAGGGAGGTTTGGAGTCCCCGTCCCTGGAGGTGCCCAAGGATGTGGCACTCGGTGCTCTTGGTCACAGGTCAGACCCAGTGACCTTGGAGCTCTTTTCCAACCTCAGAGAGTCTCAGATTCCAGGATTTCATGATTGTACTGAGCTCCGTGACTTCTCCTTTGTCCCCACACAACACCTCCACCTGGTCACCACAGCTGCTTCAGCCCCACCAGGATGATCCCATGCAAATTATTCCAAATGAAGGGCTATATTTAACTGGGAATTGAGCAAGGTAAAGCGCTTAAAACCAAAGTTACAGATTCCAAACTGCCTTTGGTGCCAGATTTTAAATAACTGAGATGAATTCCGTGCTGAGCACAGACACGGTCTAAAAGAGGAAAGAGGTGACATAATGCTGCGAAGGATTTTCAACAGGAATAACCTGATTAAGGCTAACTACATCCAATTACAGAAATCAAACACAGAAATTCTGCGTCCATCTTTTTCTCCCATTGGCTTATCTTAAGTGCTTAGGGGAAAAAAAAACCACAAGCGAGGAGTTGCTGGTTGACTTGGTGGCTCCAGCCAGGCCGTGCAGCTGTGCAGCCTCACCTTTTTTAATTTTTTAGGGGAAGGGAAAGGACCACTGTGCTCTCCTTCCCATTGGTTCTCTGGTTGCTTAGTGTTGAGTTGCCTTGGAATTTCTGAAGTTAAAAAGAGGCCCGTGGCACTGGAGCCCGTAGGCGTTGGCGCAGGAGGGGAGCGGCAGCAAAACCCTGCTCTGTTTCTAAGTATATTTAATTTTCCTACAATTTCCTTGCAGGAGACAGCAGGAATTTGAGATCATCAACCGCATGTGGCTGCTGTTCACGAATTCTCGCTGGCTCCTGCATGACATATTGGGAAATCTCATCTCTGCGTGCTGCCCATTCCAGAATTCCCACCAGGCAGCAGCGCCTTTAGGTTGGATGTTAGGAAAAAAATTTTCACTGAAAGAATAATAAAAAATTTGCACTGAAAGAATAATAAAATACTGGAATTGTCTTCCTAGGGAGGTGGTGGAATCACCACCTCTGGATGTGTTTAAAAAAAGACTGGACTTGGCACTTGGTGCTATAGTCTGGTTGTGGTGTCAGGGTTGGACTTGATCTTAGAGGTCTCTTCCAACCTCATTATTCTGTGATTCTGTGATTCTGTGATTCTGTGATTCTGTGATTCTGGCACGTTGCAGCTCCAATCCTTCTCTCCCACGGCCTGGAGCAAAGGAAGGTCCCTCCAGAGCCTGGAGATGACAAAAAACCCGGACCTGGCACTGCCTTACTCCTCTGATCTCCTCACTGCATTCTCTTCACCGTAAACTTACAACTCTTCGTTGCCTTTGCCTCCATCTCTGTGCAATTTGGATGCCAAAACCAAGTAAAATAAGTTCTAATCAATATTTATTTGTTAATAAAGACCCAAAAGAAGCAGATTTAGGCAAAACCATGCAAGAATGTGTACTGCTCTAAAGCAGGGGGAGCTGGATTCCACTAGCCCAGCTTGCTCCAAGCTTTGCCCAACCTGAAATTGGACACTTCCAGGAATGGGGCAAATTCTCTGGAAAACCCTGTGGTAACACATTCATGTTTTGCCACACAACCCCACCCTCACAGGGAGGAATTCCATCCCAATATCCCATCCAAATCTGCCCTCTGCCAGTGGGAAGCCATTCCCTGAGTCCTGTCCCTCCAGCCCTTGGTGCAAAGTCTGTCTCCAGCTCTCCTGGAGCCCCTTCAGGCACTGGAAGGGGCTCAAGGGTGTCCCTCTAACCCCCATCACACCTACCCTCCACAAGGGTGTTGGTCAGGCCGGTCATGACGCTGTTGGTGCGATCCTTCCTTCCGTAGGACGCGTTCACCTGATCCATTGAGACCAAGAGAGACCCACCAGGCTTCTTCCTGATTTCAATCTCAGTGGTCCCCTGAGAAATGCAGATGATGATGGTTAATACGGACTGGAGTCTTCTCTGTTACCCATCTCAGCCCAGACATGCAGCACTTGGCCTGCATTTCCATATTCTATATTCCCTATATTCTGTGCACTTAGCCTGCATTTCCATATTCTATATTCTCTATATTCTGTTCACTTAGCCTGCATTTCCATATTCTATATTCCCTATATTCTGTGCACTTGGCCTGCATTTCCATATTCTATATTCCCTATATTCTGTGCACTTAGCCTGCATTTCCATATTCTATATTCTCTATATTCTGTTCACTTGGCCTGCATTTCCATATTCTATATTCTCTATATTCTGTTCACTTAGCCTGCATTTCCATATTCTATATTCCCTATATTCTCTGCACTTAGACTGCATTTCCATATTCTATATTCTCTATATTCAGTGTATCCCTCTGTCCTTCCCACCTTCCTACAAGTTACAAGTGGCCAGACCAAAACTCAAGCCCTTTCTTCTGTTGGATCAGTGCTCTGCAGCTTTAGACGAATTGAGGACTGTATTTTAGAGAACGTTTCTAATTACATAGAATGTCATTAATTCTCTGTACCAAAACCAAACAGATGGGCATGCTCAGCAGACCATGCTGGCCAGACCATGCTGGCCAGACCACGATGGCCAGACCACACTGGCCAGACCAGACCATGCTGGGTCCGACCAGACCAGACCTTGCTGGCCAGACCACGATGGCCAAACCATGCTGGCCAGACCACACTCACCAGACCAGACCATGCTGGCCACACCAGACCACACTGACCAGACCACGCTGACCAGACCACGCTGATTAAACCACACTGACCAAACCACGCTCATCAGACCAGACCATGCTGACCAGGCCAGACCATGCTGACCAGACCTGACCGGGCCATGCTAACCACACCAGACCACACTCACCAGAGCACACTGACCAGACCACACTGATCAAACCACACTGACCAAACCACGCTCATCAGACCAGACCATGCTGGCCAGACCAGACCATGCTGACCAGACCTGACCAGACCATGCTGGCCACACCAGACCACA